CTTTTAGATTGTAAGCCCTCAGGGGCAGGGCCCTCCTTACCATCTTGTATTGAATTGTATTGTGACTGTAATGTCTTCCTTATATTGAAAAAGCGCTGCGCAAACTGTTGGCGCTATATAAAATACTATGTAATAATAATAACTAGTCACATTCAGCTGGAATTTTTCTCTGTAATGTGTAAGACATTTTGATACCCAATCAGGTAGGTTTCTCAGCTTTCTAAAGTTATATTAAAGTCAACATGTTTTAAGGCATTTCAAATGCTGTTGAAGTCACTTACAAAGGATGATGTTCCTTTATGTTTAAATATTTTAGTTTCCTACAGAATCACCTGGTCCCCAAAGCACTGTCATCTCATTTTTAGTGTGGGTCCTATAGAGCTACCCCTGTGTGCAAGCAAGCTGTGTGCATCCACAGAAAACACTGACAAAGCAAGGAAAGCCATTCCCCTGCTTCTGCTCCCTACTCAGTCATTCTCCCTTTTCCAAGATAGTAGATGGACACAGGGCAGCCATCAAAAAGTTTGGGGCCCCTTACACAGCTTTAGGCCTGGGCCCCTGCCCACCTACTAACACTACACAGGCCTGTCCACTGGCTGTCCAATCGAGTCCGCCCACTGGTCTTCCCTCTAGGTCCTTCAGTGCACCTACTTTTATTTTAAAACTATTGCAACTTATTATGTGAAATTGAAATTTGTATTCTAATGCACAGGTCACACTGACTCTGCTGGGGTGACAATGCATACGTCACACTGACTCTACTAGGGTGGCAGCTCACAGGTGACGCTGACTCTGCTGGGGTGGGGGTGACACTGACAGTTCTGGAACAGCACTGCATTCCCCCCCCTTCCCCAAACACACAGCAGACCAGAGAGCGGCACCTGTCAGGAAGACTCAGGACTGCAGTGACACTGTGGAGGAGGAACCATTGCCAGGACACACAGAGGTGCAGGGAGAGTGAAGGAAACTCAGGCCCTCTCTTGATTGCGAGCACTACCCAAAGGCCCGGTGGTCAGTCTGATGCAGACGCCTGCAGTTTTGGTGTTGTGCTTGGGGTGATTAGGGTTTGCGTATGCCTATGTATACAACTGCAGAATATAACCAGATATAGAGGACTACAAATCCCAGCAATGCGTAATACGACAATGCAGAATGGCACCAGCTGTCTCCACCGGCACTCTGTGCCCCCCCCCTCTCCCCCTCAATCGGCCCCAGTTCAGCCACACTGGCTGTAAGTCTGTACCTACTTGTTTCTGCTGTCCACTTCCGATCCCCCACCCCAGTGTTGGGCCCCTGTTCAGTATCGGGCATGACTGCTGTCCTCTTTAACTGAAAAATTAAAGATCCACACAGTGTCTCTGGCATTGGTCATGCATTTGATCATATTGTATCACCATGATGTTCATATAGGATGATCCCATGCATAACCAATGGCAGAGACACTGTGTCGATCTTCACTTTTTAAACTAAAGAGGACAGCAGCCCGATTAGTTTAAAAGGTAAAGATCTGCAGTGTGTGTCTCTGCAAACGGTCCCCCCTTCTCTCCCCCACCCATCTGCAGCTGCTTTAAAACACTTACCTTTCCACTCTAGCAGCTGTGCTCCGCTCTATGAAAAAAAAAACCCTTCCTGCACATAGGAAAGTCAGGAAATCACCAGCACTCAGTAGTAAAGATAAATATGTCCCTTTTATTGGACAGAAAGCGTCACAGACATCCAAATAAACCGACGTTTCGGGGCCGCGCAGGGTCCCTTCCTCAAGGCAGAAAGATGTCCAATTCTGTCCAATAAAAGGGACATATTTATCTTTACTACTGAGTGCTGGTGATTTCCTGACTTTCCTGTGTTTGCACGGCGCCATCCGTGGTAATTCATCACTGCGAGCACCACTTTTTTCTTATCTGGCCGGGACTGCTGTGAGGAGTGCGGAGGGTCTCTCCATCTACCTTCCTACACATACACAGGAACACACCAATTGTGCAGGAGGGCCCTGCTGTATAAAATTCAAATGATATGCACTCGTCATTGGAGCAAACTTGGCAGTATGCTGCGGCTGGGGGAGCATGACTGCCAATTTGTTGACCATCATTGGCACCCCCCTCTCTCTAGGCTCATGTTACTCCCTTCCTCAACCTCAGAACCAACATCAGACCATTGTAATTGCTGCGCATCCTCCATCCGCATGTGCCTGACACTATGTTCAAACAATTCTGCTGACTCCCCCGTGCATGATGGTGGGGCTACGGCTGGAGTAGCTGTGGACAAGGTGACAGCTGCGGTGGAATGCGAACTAGTATGAGCCTGGGTGACATAGGATGAGGAGGATGAGGATGGCCACCTCCACCACCTCTTTTGCATGATGTGGTTGAATAACACGGCCAGTACCAGAAAAAAAGGACAAGTGTGCCCTGCTTGCAGAGGATGGACCATGTCCACGACCACCACTTTTGCTTGTGGGCACAGAGGCCGTGGCTGTGGTGCCATTGAGTTCAATGCACTGCCACGCCCCCTCCCGCCCCAAAACAAAGTGAGCCGGCCGGAATGTGGTCCAGTGCTTTCCGGCCACAATCGGCCTGTGTGAACTAGCCCTCAATTGTTGTACAATGGCTTATTTTGAAAAAATGAAAAATAAAATGGGATTGGTGACGCAGAAGGAGGAACAACACAGAGGAGTGACACCACTAACACAAGCAAACAAAAAAGAAAAAGACAGCGGATATACAGCACAGACAATAATACTATATACAGTACAAAGTACTGACACCAGTTAGCTTACACTACACCTAACTCTATCATTAACTCCAGCAACACACTATATTATTATTACATAGTATTTACATAGCGCCAACAGTGTGCGCAGCGCTTTACAATATAAGGAAGACATTACAGTTACAATACAATTCAAGACAAGATGGTCCTGCCCCTGACAGCTTACCATCTAAAAGGGAGGGGCAAGGGATACATGAGGAGGTAGCTGTGTGGGGATGAATTGTTTGAGAACGTGATGGTTCAGTGGTTAGGTTGAGGTGGGATAGGCTTCCCTGAAGAGATGATTCTCTAGGGATCACCCAAAGGCAGTCAGAGTGGGAGATAGTCGGACAGGTTGGGGTAAAGAGTTCCAGAGGATGGGAGAGACTCTAGAGAAGTCCTGGAGGTGAGTATGGGAGGAGTTGACAAGGGAGCTGGAAAGCAGGAGGTCTTGGGAAGAGCGGAGTGGACGGTTAAGGTGATACTTTGAGACAAGGTCTGAGATATAGCCGGGGGCAGAGTTGTGGATGGATTTGTAAGTGATTGTTAATATTTTCAATGTTCTCCTTTGGGCGAGTGGAAGTCAGTGTTGGGATTAACAGAGGGAGGTTGCAGACACTGAGCGGTTGGTTAGGTGGATGAGTCTGGCAGCTGCATTCATGATAGACTGAAGGGGGGATATCCTGTGTAGTGGAAGGCCAATAAGGAGGAGGTTGCAATAATCTAGACGAGAGATAACAAGTGAGTGGATGAGTAGTTTTGCGGTTTCATTGGTGAGGAATGGTCGTAGTTTGGAGATGTTACGAAGGTGAAGGCGGCAGGATTTGGATAGTGATTGGATGTGGGGAAGAAAGGTGAGGTCAGTGTCAAGGATGACATCAAGCCCCTTGGCATGAGGGGAGGGATGGATGGTTGTGTTATCAATGTCAAGCTGTGGTGTAAGCAGCCTTATATAGTGGGGGGCTGGGACTTAGCTATGAGCCATGATTGGGCAAAATCATCATTACTTTGCCCAATCATGGCTCTCCCAATGCACTGTGCTGTGATTGGGTAATGTCTTGTATCTGACCTGTGGTCAGGTGCATTCCTTTACCCAATCACGGCTCTCCAATGCACTGTGTGGTGCCCCACAGTGCCTTGTGGGGCGCTTGGTGGGCGAATAGCCCGACGAAGGCCCTGATAGTTTGTGTGTTCACCGAACACAAGAACTATCAATGTTCGATTTGAACTGTTCTTCGACTCGAACATTGAGCCCATCCCTACTTATGGTTAGTACAGTAACGGTGTGCCTAGACTTTCATGATGATGCCATCACATGGGGCTGGGTCCATGACAGTCTCAGCTAAGAGAAATGGTTTAAATGTCACTTGTGATTTATCACTGAAGACTGAGGACATCTACAGGTGGAAAGGGATTAAGGGGGAGTCATGATTTAAGGTAAGTATTTGTAACGGCAACCGCCGTCACCGCTCACCTGGGGATCAGGGGGTACAGCGTTCTGCCTCACGACACCGGCCGTCTGCGTCCCAGCGTGGTGCGCACGCATCCACTTCCGGGTTCGGACGGGCGGTGCGTTCCACCTTGGGACGCGGAAGTGCGCCGTCTCGATCGGCGGCTCCTCCCCCAGCCTCTTAGCCCTATATAAACGCCCCAGTGAGACAGTATGGCGTTCCAAGATTGAAGACTGAACGCCTGCTGTCTCCTGGGACCCTACAGATCTCCATTTATTGCTACCAGCTACAGAGAACCTTGGACCAACTCCACTCGGACCCCCAGCTCCTTCTGCTGCTCCATACAACCGCAAGTATCCAGGCATACTGCACTTCCATAGTTACGTATTGACTGTGTATACTGAGAAGCTGGATTAACTCATACGCTCCATCTAGTGGTCCTTTCGGAGATTACACCTCTGCCTCTAAACATAGATGATATCAATCCTACACTATTTGAAATCCTAACCCATTACATCTTTTTGGTAGTATTACTAATGATTGGGCTTATGCAGTAATAACCCCATTCAACCGTTTTACCTCTGTTATTTTTGGCTGTGATGCTTGAACCCTAACTCCCCATTAAGATTGGGAGTGAAACCAGGGTTCCGTCTGATAAGCCTCCGCAGTTGCGATCCACAATCCCCAAACTTACACCAGGTGTTACAATATTCCAGAAAAAGGTGGATTTTATTTCTTAGGTTGTCTATTCATAAAAAATAAGATACATTCTGCTTTAATCTTTGTATTTTTTCTATTAAGGCAACAAAACAGAAACAATCATACCACTATCAGAGATGTCATCCTCTTGGGATTTGAAGGTCTCCATAACATCAGATTCTTCATCTTCTTCCTGTTACTTGTGATCTACTGCGTGACAATATGTGGAAACCTACTGATCATTGTATTGGTGTACTACAGCAAAGTCCTCCAATCTCCCATGTACGTCTTCCTCACCCAACTTTCTATTTCTGACATCATGCTGACCACCGACATCGTACCAAATTTACTTTGCGTCGTACTTTACGAAAACGGAACAATGTCTTTTGAAAGCTGCATTTTCCAGTTAAATTTCTTTATATTCTCAGAATCTTCAGAGTGTTTTATCCTGACAGTGATGTCTTATGATCGGTATTTGGCCATCTGTAAACCCCTAAATTATATGTCTATAATGAAGCACACATTTTGCATGAAACTGGCCGGCATTTCTTGGCTTTTGAGCCTTTATGTCATGTTTATTAGCACCATGACAACGCTAAGTCTGGACTACTGTGGCCCAAACATTATTGACCATTTCTTCTGTGATGCTGCACCACTGTTAAAACTTTCTTGCTCAGATACCTCCAAGGTTGAAAAGACGAGAATGTTTCTCGCCATCCCTATGCTTTTCTTACCTTTCATCTTCATCGTGGTTTCTTATACTTATGTCATTATCGCCATCATGAAAATTCCATCCACTACAGGAAAGGAAAAAGCCTTCTCTACCTGCAGTTCCCACCTAACCATTGTCTGCATTTTTTATATAAGTCTGATTAGCATGTACGGTCTTCCAACTTCTGAACATTCTTCTACATTAAGCAAAATACTCTCCATTCTGTACACTGTGGGGACACCATTGATAAACCCAATTATATACAGCCTGAGAAATAAAGATATAAAAGTATCCTATGACAAGTTAATAAAGAATTTTGTAAATTTTCATTACCTTTTAAACTGAAAAAGAAACAAAGTACATACTTGCAGTGATAATCCTTAGCACTTAATATAAAATATAATGGTCATTTACTATCATATTTCTGTTGCAATTTGTTTTATTTAAAACAAGGCACAACACGATTAACTATGGACAATTGGAAAAAGTGTGTCTCTGTTTTATTTATAGTTCATTAATTTAACAAAACATTAACAAATCTGCAGTTTTAGTAAGAAACCTCATTTAACAAGATACCATAATGAGAACTAATACAAGTGAATGAAAAACCTAACAATGAATTTCTCTTATTTATTTATTATTCTCTCGGTGCTCTGTTATATCTATTTAACCAGGTAATCTTGAGAGAAATCCAATGAGCTTTTAAAAGAGAACTATGGTCCAACCTTTTTGGCCATAGTTCTCTTTAGGGTCACAGTAGGACATTTGCTAATGGCCTCCTGTGACTCAAACTCAGCATTAAGCATACACTATATTGCCAAAAGTATTGGGAAGCCTTTACATGCACTTGAACTTTAATGGCATCCCAATCTTATTCCATAGGGTTCAATATTGAGTTGGCCCGCCCTTTGCAGCTATAACTGCTTGAACTCTTCTGGGAAGGCGTCCATAAGATTTAGTAGTGTCTCTATGGGAATGTTTGACCATTCTTCCAGAAGCGCTTTTGTGAGGTCAGGTACTGATGTTGGACAAGAAGGCCTGGCTCGCAGTTTCCGCTCTAATTCATCCCAAAGGTGTTCTATTGGGTTGAGGTCAGGACTCTGTGCAGGCCAATCAAGTTCCTCCACCCCAAACTCACTCATCCATATCTTTATGGACCTTGCTTTGTGCACTGGTGCGCAGTCATGTTGGAACACGAAGGGGTCATCCCCAAACTGTTCCCACAAAGTTGGGAGCATGAAATTGTTCAAAATGTCTTTGTGTGGTGATGCCTTAAGAGTTCCCTTCACTGGATCTAAGGGGCCAAGCTCAACCCCTGAAAAACAACTCCACACCACAATCCCCCCTCCACCAAACTTTACACTTGGCACAATGCAGTCAGTCAAGTACCGTTCTCCTGGCAACCGCCAAACCCAGACATGTCCATCGGATTGCCAGATAGTGAAAGTGTGATTGGTCACTCCAGAGAACACGTCTCCACTTCTCTAGAGTCCAGTGGCGGTGTGCTTTACACCGCGGCATCCCACGCTTTGCATTGCACTTGGTGATGTAAGGCTTGGATGCAGCTGCTCGGCCATGGAAACCCATTCCATGAAGCTCTCTACGCACTGTTGTTGTGCCAATCTGAAGGCCACATGAAGTTTGGAGGTCTGTAGCTATTGACTCTGCAGACAGTTGGCGAATTATGCGCACTGTGCGCTTCAGCACACGCTGACCACGCTCTGTCATTCTACATGACCTACCGCTGTGTGGCTGAGTTGCTGTTGTTCCCAGTTGCTTCCACTTTGTTATAATACCACTAACAGGTGACAGCGGAATATTTAGTAGCAATGACATTTCATTGATGGACTTATTGCACAGGTGGCAACCTATCACGGTGCCACACCTAAATTCACTGAGCTCCTGAGAGCGACCCATTCTTTCACAACATGTATATAAAGGTTCCAGACTGCATTCCTGCCTATCACACACTTTTTAAAAGGTTCTGTCCCCATTGGGGACCCCATTAGTGTTTTACATTGTCAAATTCAAACAATGTGGGCTACAGGACTGACAGCGAAGGCACACAGTCACCCTACAACATGTTGCCAATTGTCAGTGTAATAAAACGTTCCAGACTGCCTTCCTGCCTATCACACACTTCTTTAAAAGTTCTCACTGCTTCTGTCCCCATTGGGTTTTTTTTGGTGAAGACATGTACAGTGTAGACACATTTAAACTATATTAGGTCTCTACACCTACACCCAAAGTGATAGGAGTGTGGAGCTAAAGTTTGCCTTGTGTTTTAATAACTTATTTTAGGTGTGGTTCTATAATGGGCCAACTCCCTCCCTCGGTGTGCCTCGTGAGGGTATGATCTTTGCCTAATACTAAAGCTAGCCAGTCATCTGTAGTAGGGGGGTAGTACAAGACAGTTGGATTAGGTGGGGAAACATTATAAATCATGCTTGGCTCCAAAAACTAAACATGCTGGCTTGTCATTGATTTAGGACAACACCACATCATTTTTAATTTTCCCTTAACAGTTTAATATCTTCTATGCCCAAAATGGTTAAGTGGTTGGACCACTTTATCACTTACAGAATTATGTTCCCCTCTTACAACATAATGGGAAGGTGTTCTGTAGAGGGAAAAACTTGGCATGGCTGAATTTACAATTGTCATTTCTGTGCAATAGAGGTTGCAGTGTCAGCTTAGTACAGGAAGCTAAGAACTCACCGGATTGTTGGTATCAACTTCTATACTTAGAGGTACATGGAGTACTTGTGGTGTTTTTAAAGAGATAAACACTGGGAAAATGTACATGTATTGAAGAGAAGTACCAAACTTTGTTTTTGTTTTTTTTTGCCAGGCATATACTTAATTTTTTTTCTTTTTGGAAGAATGAAAGAAATGTTAATATTTCTCTACAGATAAGCTGTTAATTCTACAGTGTGTGTGTGTGTGTGTGTGTGTGTGTGTGTGTGTGTGTGCGGGGGTTAACAGGCTGGCACGCCACTGCATTAGCACAACACAACATCATTTATTGTCATGCCCCACTCAGACTCACCATGTAAATAGTCTGATAATAACTAGCTGTGTAATCTATCTATGCCACAATATTCCAGATAGAATGGTCTATATTATAAAATAGGACACGTGACAGCTGAACAGTGAGGTGAAACGGGCAAAGAAGAAAAATGTAAGACATTGCACTTTAACATTTTCATTCTAGATACAATCTGAGGTTGCACCCAAAAAGTTTCGCTCAGCAAAATATTGAGCAATTATTAAAATTTTTATATCCAAGACCAGCAGAGTCCTTAAACGCACATCATTGTTTAAAGAGTGTAATTAAATGTTTTATAAATGTGAGTGTAAACATTTACGTACATCAAAATAACTAAAAAAAAGTAATAGTTACTTCTTGGCAAAGGTTTCCTAAAGGTTTAGAGGATGTTCTCTTAGCTTAATGAAAAAGCTGAAGCTCCATATCAATCAACAAAACATTTAAAGGGACATTAAACTCAGAAATTAAACTTTAGAAATGCATTCAAGTACCTTAACTATAAAAAAAAATACCATACCAAGAACATACACGGAGATTTACATGACTGCACAGTTCCTGGACCATGAACTTAGTCCTGATATTAGATTAGTAAATAGGGTATACAGCAACATTTTTGGGATTAATAAACCCCTCTATTCTTTACTCTTGCACATTACTTATATGCACATTCCTAATAAAAATATATTTAATTCTAGGCCTGTTGTAGATTATATTACTAAAAGGAAACACACTCAGTGGTTAATGCATCTAATTAACTGAATATTTGTTCAGTCTCCTGGCCTTCCTGCGTTTATTTCCTAGGGACTACATAATGTAAATATATTTTGCTAACATAGACATGTTTAATCAGTGCCATGGGTCATATAGAGGAGCCTCTAGACAATTTTGGCAGCTCAATTCTTATTATAAATAAGGAAACCAGAAAACAGAACAGAGACGAGCAAGCAGCAAAGAACACCAACACAAATGTAAGTCATGTGATATCTTGGTGTGTGTGAATACCCCCCTCCCCCATACTCATAGAACAGTCATCTTTGAAGACATTTCAGATATGATGAATTAATAACATGTTTTCTCTGCCGGGTCGACAAAGTCCTCGTCTGACCACAAGGTTCTTGTCTTTTTATATTGAATACTAGAAATGGCCATTGAAACGCAGGCATTATACCAAATACATGTTTCTTATTTTAATACTTAACAACTTACTTTTTAATGTATTTATCATCTTATTCTTGCATGGTTAGCTATGTAGATATTTAGATATTTTGACATGTGATGAGCACATTTCTAAAGTCTGTCTCATGATCTTGTTGTGCGATATACTCAGTGTTGTCATTAATATAAATATATTTATTAAAAAAAGTGTTCTTATAGAAATCATACAGTTTTTCATAGCAAACATACTGCAGACTGTTTTCCTTGGTTGATCTCAGTTTAGGTTACATTTCTGTTTGTCAGTGTGTGCTCCCATTCACAGAGTAATCATCACACATGTCCTTTCCCATCATTGATGCCTTGATTTAAAGTGACACTAAACTCAGGAATCAAAACTTAAAAATGTATTCAAGTACCTTAACTATTAAGAACAATTTATCTTATTTGTGTATCACTCGGCTGTAGATCCTCCAATCATCTCTGAATTGGTGCTGACACTGTCCTTCCTTCTGGAGGGGGGCTACTTTTGTTCCCCATGATCCCCCCAAGCTCGATCCCGTAATGGACTACTATCTCAATACAAGTTAGTAAACTAAATGAGAGATTTTAGTCCAACACAGGAGTGTGCTTGGAGAGGTGACTACTTTACAACACACACAGGGACCATGGTGAACAAAAGTAGCCCCCCTCCAGAAGGAAGGACAGTGTCAGCACCAATTCAGAGATGATTTGAGGATCTGCAGTCGACTGATACACAAATAAGATACATTGTTGTTCATAGTTAAGGTACTTGAATACATTTTTAAGATTTAATTCCTGAGTTTAGTGTCACTTTAAATTAAGGAAGCAATGATGCAAAAGGACACAAGTTTAGTGTTACTTCAAGTATACCTACATTTTTAAAGGTATGTTTGTGTTAGAATGCAGGGGGAGGGGGGTGCATAGTCTATCTGCTCAGGAGTACAGCTATTTATCCACACAAGAGATGAGCAACATTGAGAGTTTTCATTTCCCAGAAATGGCAGGACTGCACCAGCCCACACTGCTCCCTTAATTCACCCTACTCATAGAAACATAAACAAGTGATGGCAAAAAAAGGCCGAGTGGTCCATGGAGTTTTTTTTATTATTTTGTTTTTTCA